AAACTCAGAGGTCCCTGGGCTGGAACTAACTTTAACTTCTCCTCCCTGAGAACTATGTTTGTAGTATGAAAATAAACCATACAGAAGAGTCAAAACAACTTACAGTTCTACCCAGCTATAATTCACAACAATGCCCAACATGTCATGATAACCATAAGGGAATGTAGTGGCATTGTATACCTTTGTCTTACTCAGTACCTCTATAATTGGACTTAAGATGAATATCAATAAAAATAAATATCAATAAAAAATAAATCATGCTTAACATGACTGAAAACCTAGCCATCTATTTAAGGCAATTGATCTTGGAGGAGAATCTGCAACCACAATGTTACTAATCCGGGATAATTCTTAACTGCATTCTAGATTTTTGTGTTTATGCCCACTGATAAGGATGGTCTTCACCGCCATCCCATCAAATAAACTTTTCTTTGCAACAGAGAAAGATTAATATGGAAGACTACAACCAATTATAATGAAAAATTATGAAGCCCAGTCCCAATGAGTACATCTGGAATGTTCCTAATACTTTGATATAATTGCAGAGGAGGTAGGGTAGATGGAGTTGGCAGAAAGATTTTAAGACCAAGGAGATCAAGAGTCTTGATGTGAGATTGTGTATATAAGTAAAATCAGAAGCTACACCCATAAACTCTCACAAACATAATTACATAAACTTGAGCAGAACAAGTACAGCAGCAATAGACATACAAACTGGATAGCATAAGACCTGAAGACCTGATCCCTCCATAAGAAACAATAGGCAACTGAGGAATACTGAGAGTGGCAGAAATAGTCTTTTCCTAGGATGCTAACTAGTTATACAATAGTGTTATCTAAAAAAACCAGTAATATAGACTGAGCATGTTATATTTGAGAATGTTTGTGTGTGTGTGTGTGTGTATGTGTCTGTGTAAAACATCAATTGATAAAATGTGGCAATTAATGTGAAACAAAGAAAGCAGGGAGACATGGGAGGGTTTGAAATGAGGAAAAGGAAAGGAAATTATGTTTTATGCAATAATTTCAAACTTAAATAACTGCATAAAGTAATTGTAATGATCTTAAAATGGCACGAGATGCCTATTTGGAAAATAAAGCTATTTTAGCTTAAATGTAAGTGATGGACAAAGATATGTCATTCTATAAAATAAGTATGTTTTGCATGTTTATAGGATAATTTTCCCCTATATTTATGTCAGGGAAATAACCTAGACACAGAACAATGGAGGAATTGTTCATGAAACTGTGGCAGTCACATACGAAACATACAAAACTCAACTGTTAAAAGCAAGGACTCTTGGTGATTTGCTGTAGTATGGGTGATTTAATGTACATTATGCCATGTTATATAAGATGAATATAAGGAGAAAACAATCACATAATCTCATTTAGAAATGGAATGTGATTTACAGTCAATATATACAGAATACATGATAATGGTTAACATGTCTTTTGGTGTGAAGAGGACAGAGAAAACAAAGCAGAGATCAATAATATTGGGTAACATAAATGTAAGATAAAGGAAAATCCTCACTTTAGATCGTTTTTCTATGGCTGTGATGATACTTCATGAACATGGCAACTTATCAAAGAAAATATGTAATTTGTGGACCAATAATTGTTGGAGTCTATAAATATCATGGGTGAGAGCATGGGAGCAGGCAAGCATGACAGTGAAGTAGCTGATACCTGACATATAATCCACAAACATGAAGGAGAGATATAGTGATGGAGAGAGAGAGGCAGAAAGAGAGAGACAGATAGACAGAGAAAGACAGAGAGAGAGACAGAGAAAGACAGAGAGAGAGACAGAGAAAGACAGAGAGAGAGAGACAGAGAAAGACAGAGAGAGACAGAGAAAGACAGAGACAGGCATAAAGAACCATAAACAGAGACAGAATAACAGAGGCAAGAAAGATAAACAATGAGAGTTCTAACTGGGAATGGAATAGGTTTTTTAAACCTCTAAAGCTCACCCCAGTCACAGACTTCCTCCGACCTCACAACATGATCTTTCTGAAAACATTCACCCAACTTTGGACCACCCATTCAAATGCAAGAGCCTATTTGAAACATTCTCATTCAAACCAGCACAACTGACTCACTCACCAACCACATACTTGTAGCCATGTCATAATCAAAAACTGTGTTCAACTACATATCTTCCTGTAGTCTAACATAGTGTCAACACTGCTTAAGTTTAAAAGTTCCAAGTCTTTTCTGAGGCTAAGGCAATCTTTTAGTTGTAACCTATTGCCAAGTCAAAAACAAAGTAAATGTTTCCAAAATACAGACAGATCATACATTACCATTCCAAAAGGGTGGAAGTGAGGAAATACTAGATGAGAGCAAACCAAAATCCACCAGGGCAAACTCCAAGTCCTGTAACCCCATGTCTTGGTGTCAATAGACTGATAAGATTCTGCACTTTCAGCTCTAGGACTGAAGCACACTTCTTTCTCTTGAACTGATTTTGCTTTCTCTATGAAGCTCTTTGAGAGTTATACCATACTGCTGACTTCTTCAATACCTTGGGATCTCCACTGAAATGTAGGCTTCATTTTCAGAGATTTATGCAATGACATATCCAGGCCTCCATACAGCAACTACCAAGGCACAAGCCTTGCCTAAGTGGCTTTGCTTAACCTAGGAGGAAGATTCCACAACCTCTTTATTCGCATATCCTTTTTGACTTGAAGACCAGAAAAACATGACTAATGGTGTCCAAGTTCTGCTATATGCTTAGTATGGGACCTGACTTCTTCCTTGATTCATATTTGTATAATCTTTAATTTCTTTTTTTCATATGTTGATTAAATTTTTCTTTGTTTTGGGAGAATCTTTATGCATTTCCTTTTTGCCAGTTGAAAGGTTAGCTGGGTGAAATCTTGCCCTGGAGCAGCACTCCCTTTGTTTCATTTCCCATCATGCCTTTCTCTGAATTACTCATCGGTTTGAGTACAACACTTGGCTCCAATATTAAATTTCACGATGTTCTTTTGTTCCTCACATTTTATATTTTGTGATTCTTTTTGCCATACTTGCTCGAATTTAGCTTCACTCACATTTTAGGATGGGGCAAAAAGTAGTTACATTATTTGCAAAATATCACAATAATGGACTTTAGCCCAGGGCTAACACAGTTCTCTTTTGACATCTCTTGAGTTGATCTTTACAGCCTATATTGTATGCAGCACTACTATCTTCCAAACAACTACTTAATGCCCACTTATATCATGATGATACTGTAGCAATAGATAATTGTATATGTCTGATCCACAAACGTAACATAGAGAAAGATAAAGACACATGGACACACACACAGGCAGAGACACACACACACACAGAGAAACACACACACAGAAAAACACACATACACACAGAAACACACACAGAAACACACACACACACACACACACACACACACACACACACACACACACACAGTGTAAGGAATGGAAATGGCATGTGCTTTTGAATCTCAAAATACAGTCCCAGTTATACATCTCCTCCAATGAGTCCTATCTCTTTCTCATTCCCAAACAGCCCCACCAAGTATGGACCAAAATTAAAGTAAATGAGCCTATGTAGGCTCTTCTCACTCAAACTACCACAGAAATGAACAGCATGAAATCTCTAAGAAGTAACAGTGCATTGCATATAGGACTGTTTATAATTATGAATTTTTTTGCCACAAGGAAAAATATTTGTTTATAAGTGAAATGGTGTATAGGTTAGTTTGTTCAACAATAACCTTTTGAGCACATCCATTCTCATCTTTATGATACACTCATTCAATTTTCATTCTAACTTTTAGTTTAGAACAGATAAACAGACAGTTCTGACCTCTCAGACATAGAGTTATGATATAAAATGAATACAAATGGGGAGAGATATCTTTTTGTGTCTTGATTACTTCACACTCACTTAAGAAAATGTGGTGAACTGTTCTGCTTTGATTTGCCCATACGGTGTTCACTTAATTTTGCTTCAGTTGAAAATATCACATAGTGCAGCTTTAAAATTGAAACATTATTTCATAGAAAATGTTACTAAATGTGCATAATTTAAATAATAAATGCTGTTGGTTGAGGAGAATGTTGTAAACTTGAGACAGGTTTGATTTCAAGGGGATCTAGTCTAGAGGAGCTCATTGGAGATTTGTCATGAGAGATTAGACATTCAAAGAGAAGGGTCATCATGGCAAAGACAAGAGAGGAAAGAGATAACACTCTACCATGGGATGCCGAGCATGTCATTGCGAGGAAAGAAAACCACAGAGGACAGTCTCTCTCCACCTTCAGGTGCTCACAGATATTGATGTATCTCACTACAAAACCAGACAGCTGTCTTCCTATGCTGAAAATGAAAGATACAGTGAACTTGAAGTTGAGGACTCCACTGGGTGAAGAGAGATTTAATAGACTTCTCTTGGGAATATATATTTAATTATTAAGCAATCTATTTAAGTATCTTCATATATTCTTTGTAACCTGCATAAGTCAATAAGAACTAAAATTATATAGTGTTTCTGTTTAACTCTGGAAACATTGGCAAAAAAGCATTTTCCTAAGCATTTTTCTAAAATAACTTTTGCAATATCCAACCATTCTTTAAGCACTATAAATTTCAGTAATTCAAGAAATGCAGCACTTCCCTGACCTTCCATTTGCCTTCTAGTGAAGAATGGATTTATCAACAGTCATTGATAGCCTTCTTCATCCACAGAATACTTGCCAGTAGTCCTATTAAAAGGAAATGCTAAAGCCCTCAATAACATAGCAACAGAAATAGCACAGTTAGTATTTATATGAGAAGCCCCGTATCTTTCAACTGTCACAAACATTATTGTTATTTTTTAACTGATTGAAGATTAAGTAACAAACTGAATAAGGTGTTAAAATAGTCCACAAAGATAATAAAAACATTTTCTCTCTTAAGACCATATCTGTCTAACCAAGGTAGAACTAGATTGTCTCCAGTTCTTCATGATTTCCTTAAGAACCACTCTCAACACCTTCTTCCTCCTCAGGAGTGTCCTGCATGGCTCTCTCCAGAAATAGTCTGAGAGTCTTCATCTTGAATCTCTTATGGTGCGTAATGGAGCCAACAAGAAAGTAAATGATGGGGTTGGCACAGCTGTTAATACAGGACAGAAAAGTTACTTCATCAAAAATATCACAATAACTCTTAATCCATTGTTCAAGGAGCCAGTAGATTCCAAAGGGAAGACCAAATATCAGGAAGAATAGCACTGTGAGTGCAATGGACACATACAGCCTGGTTACAGGGATCCGCTGGGAGCCACAGAAGATCCTGACAAGTAGGATGAGGCTGGACCCACAGAGAACCACAAATAAAACAATTGTCCATACAGTAATGATGCTATCAAATGTCTGACACCAAATAGAGTCATACTCATGAAACAGTAAAACACATTCGTTCCCATCCAGAAATGAGAACATCAAGGACAGAGCCCAAAGCAAGACACACATGACAGCTGACGTGTGTCTTGGACGATTACAGCGGTACCAGATGGGCCACATAACAGACAGGCAGCGTTCAACGCTAATGGTTGTGAGAATGCTCACACCAGAAACATATGGAAATATTGATACAAAATATAAAAATGATACAATGTTATTGGGAATGGAGTCCGTGATGTCAATGATAATAAGAACACAATATACAAACTGAGAGAACAGGAAGAAAAAGTCAGCCCCAGCAAGGTTGAGGATGTAGACTAAGAAGGCATTCCTGTGCATCTGGAAGCCAAGCAACCACAGAACTATGGCATTCAGTACCATCCCAAACAGGGAAGTGATAAGGGAAAGCAAAATCATGGTTTGGAACTTGATGACACAATATGATGTATCACTTCGTACATTAAGTGCTCTGATGTTAGTTTCCAAGGTTGAGATGCTTAGATCCTTGCTTAGGATATCTTCAGAACTGTTTCTGTAACAAAATAAACAAAATACATGAGCACATGTTATGTTCTTTCTGAGTTAGGAACACTCTGCTATGTGGTAATTACTGACCTGATTCATAAGGAGGATAAACAAGATTAGAGTGATTAATTTATCTAAACCAGTTTTTCTGGAGCTTTAATTTATATTCAGATTGCATTTATTTGTGCAATCTACAACCTATGTCCTGTACAGATATTAACTAGTATAGTTGTATCCCCAGTATGGACACCCAGTTTCTCAGGTTGTGTCAGAAAGAGACCTCTGAACCCAACTTCCTTTCTGTCCTAAGGCTTTTTCTTCTCTGCTGCATAAACTCAAGAACGAGAAGAATGATCCAACCCTGTTCTCAGTCCTGGCAGGAGTAGGCTATCAGATGGAGAGATATGGAAATTTTGAGTGAGGGTCATGAAGGGAATGCTAAGTCCTGTTAAGACTAGAATGAAAAGAACCAGTTGTATAGGCTGGTGTGACTCAGTCTCCATTTCAGATTTGAAATTAGAAAGCAGGAAAGTCTTTGAGGACATTAAACACTTTTCCATTGTCTGTTACTATATTACAAGTGTACATTTTTCTATGAGTCACATTGAATAATTGAGAATTTTTACTGACTTATTGTTATTCAAAATTATATATATTATATATAATTACATGACATCTCCCCTGAGATGTATATATATGTATATATATATATACATGAGTATATGTATATATACTCATATATACTACAAAAATTATATATGTGATAATTATTCAAAAATGAATAAATTAATGATAAATCCAACATTATTTACAAATTTAAATGAAGTGTTCTTGCAAATACTTTAGAGCAAGTATCACCAAATACATAGAAGAATGAAGAAAATATCATTACTGAGGGTTCTAAGGAAGGCGTAGTGTGTTTGAAGGAATTGTTTTTGCTGCAAGATGGATAATAAAGGAATTTTTCATTCCCTAACACAAAGATGTTTAGTAAATGGCCATATTAATGACCTAGAAGTACTTCAGCCCAGAATTTAGGCTTTGATTTTGAGATTAAGTGAATTTCTAACATTCTTGAGGATTAAAAAGACAAATTTGGAGAAAAGTAAAAAAGAAGGAATAATATAACAATTTTGAATACCTAGAATACAACTCAAAACCATATGAAGTTCAAGAAGAAAGAAGATTAAAGTAGGGATGCTTCTGTCCTACTTAGAAGGGGGAACAAAATTATCACGGGAAGTAGAGTGTGGGAGGGAAATGAGAAGAAGAGAGAAGGGGTAGAGGAGAACGGACAGGATCAGGTGGGGGCAGAGACAGGGGAGATGTCACGAAATTGAACAGAGGTATGTAGCAATGTAGCAATGGAGATGGGAAATTGGGGGTAGCCACTGAAAAGTCCCAGATGCCAGGAAAGCAAGAGGCTCCCAGGACCCAACAGGGAGGCCATTAGCTGAAATATCCAACAAAAGGGAGAGAGAACCTCTAGAGACCATATTCAGAGGTAAGGCATGGCCCACAGTTGAGGAAGGGGGCCACCCACCTATCTTAAAAATTTTAAACCAGAATTGCTCCAGTCTAAAGGAAATGCTAGAGCAGTGAGGCAAGAGTGGATAGATGGGTGGGGTGACCCCTTATCGAAGCATGGGGGAGGGGAGATGGGATAGGAGGATTGCAGATGGGCAACTGGGAAGGGGGATAACATTTGAAATGTAAATAAATAAAATAACCAATAAAATGATTAATAAAAAAGAAATAAAAATGAGTTGGTAGGTAAATATTTTATGTACCCATTGGAATCGACTTTGAATAGCTGTGGATTGTTAGATAGATATCTTGTGATACACACACATACACACACACACATATGTATGTATGTATGTATATATGTGTATATATACATACATATATATTATGTGTGTATGTGCATATATATATATATATATATATTTCAAGGAGTATTCAGAGACCTAAAATCTGTACATGCACTGCACATTCTGTTTCCCAATCATAACTATATGTTCAGACCCTATTAGTCAAGACACTATACATACACATTGAGTGTACAAATTATATAATAATCTGGTACTGATATGAAAGCTTCTTGCCCTGCTGGATAGCTTTCACAGTACAAGAAGATGCTATGAAGGCTCCTGTGGTACAAACAATGTCAATGGTCTTTACTCAGCTATGAATTCTGTACTCTATGAGACTGAGGCCAACTTGCCAGTAGGATACACATCCTTGTGCAATTGTGGCAGCATTGTTTTGGAGGTAACTAAGTGCACTATGTTTGTATTTCAAGCCATAGGAAGATGTATTTACTTAGTGTTGGAAATCAGATACAAAAGACAAGATTGGGGAAATCATATACACTGCTGTGAAATTGAATTCAGGTGTTGAACTAAATAGACATTGCATTGAGTTGCTCTCTGAATATTTTACACTCATGTATGGACATTATATGTAGCCTTAATCAGAGAAGCTTCTTTTTTTGACAAAATTGTTGTAAATAAAGATTCTAGTGACACCACAAGTTATTGAGGATAAATAATTGTTGAGGGTTTAGCTCTAAGAGGGTAATTTAGATTATCTTCCCATATCTCAGGTAACTTTACACAAGAAAAGATAAAAAGTATGTAACAGCAGGAAAGATAAGGAGAAGAATTTCAAAATGACACCTCCCCACAAAGACACATTTATTCTAGTCACATACTTAGAGCTCTTGGGAATACTTACAAAGGCTGTGCACAGAAATTTTCCCATTAATAGCCAGGCATAGATATTGGAAGGGTTACTTCTCTCCACTGAATAATTGACTAACAACAGTCTCAAGGATAGGGGAAAGCATTGCCTTCATTCAGGTACTCACTAGTAACCAAAATAGGTCCCAATAGATAGTTCAAACCATTCAATTGTCATACATGATAAATATTACAAAACAAAGCTAGAAATCATAATCTCAAAGAGAAGTGTTGGGGGGATATTGACAGAGAGGGAGGGATACTTGAGAGAGCTGAGGAGAGTAAGCAGAGTACATTGTGGCATAAATAAAGTGATCAAAGAATAAAGTAAATCAATATTGAATGCCTAGAGCAAAACACAGGTTCCGTGCAATCACAGCAAGAGTTAGCTCTGGGTGCAGATGACGTCTGTTTTACAACAGTTGATAAAGTTCCACACTCTGTGTTATTGTTACGGCTTGGAGGTAAGTTAGAGACGCATGTAACTTTTCATAAATATGTATATTACTTAAAATTATATTAATTGGGTTGCTTGCAATCATTTATTTTTTGAACATGCTTCTTTTTATTAATTGGTTATTTTATTAATTTACATCTCAAATATTGTCCCCCTTTCAAGTCCCCCCTCCATTCCCCTTCTCTTCTAAGAGGATGATCCCTCACCCCTCTATTTTCCCCTACACTGTGGCAACAAGTCTCCACACTTATGTTTCTTACTGAGACAGAAATCTGCAAAAAAAATGCACTCTTTCCATGGCAGAAAACACAGATAATTAGCATACTGACAGAGCTTTGCTTTTAAGAACAGTGCCAGTATCCATATTGGTAAGACAAGGAGAGTGACAGAATTCTCACAATAGCAGCATATTGAGTAGATGAGATTAGAGAAGATTGGGAAAAGTACAAGGGAGAACATTACTTGATAATGTTCACAGGCTTCCATAAGTTCAGTCTGCAGCCCAAAACACTGTCATGAAGGACATTTGATGACTTCTTCCAAAGAAACACATGAGAGTCTCTGGATTCTTCACCTCAAGATGTAGTTACATGGTCATAGAGTAAGAAAAATAGGTAATAGCTTTGGGAAGAATGTCCCAAAAAGCATCTTACCTTCCTTCCATTCTTCTTATGTGTGGTGATAAGCTGTCTGGGGCAAATAGATATGTCTCCAGAGTCAGTTGTCAATAAGAAACATGCTTAGTAGAGAGATCACGTGGAAGCTGGCTCTAGTGGAAGATTTCTCAGGTGAAGAATGACCTGTGGTTTCTTGTACTTGGATCTGCCCTGCATGTCACTCCTTTAAGTCAGGTTCTTCATAAGCCTGTTATCAACAATTGGCCAGTATCCAGTATCCTATCTCTCATTTTCTGGCCATACCAACTCCTCTTCAGTGTTAGTGGTTGGTTTTTTCTATTTAACTTCTTGTGTCCAGAAAGCAAGCAATATAAAACAATGTGAGCCGGTGCTGTAGCATTATCTTAGTATCATATCTAAAGTTATGTTTGCACAACTAAACAATGAAGAAGCAATAAACTATCAGGAAAATGATCAAATCAGGTGGAACTGCAGAATAGTGATTGAAAAATACATCAGATAAGAATTTAGGTTTTGAAACTAGAAGATTTCCTTCTGTAAGAAATCTAGCCTAGGCAAGGATCCAGGGAATGTGTGCCCTCCAGGCTCCTGGGAAACCCTCCTTACTGCTACATTGGCCAAGCATGAGGTCAACACAGCATACAGCAGTGGGGTCAAGAAGAAAGAACTCAAGATGCTGTCTTCAGAGAACTGGCTAAATTTGGTTCTTCAAAGATAGAAATGAAGGGAATGAAAGAAGCAGCAGAGAAAGGCACATTTTCAATAAAATTCATGTGACTATAATGGGAAGGGAGAAAAAAGGAAAACATCAAAACTAAGACAGTGGTAATTTAGTTGTAGTAACTGGTGAACTGGTGTAGTAATTGGTATACCTGGCCTCTGAAAAAGCAGGAGAGAAAGGAGCCAGGTTGGCTTGGTCTCTTGTCTCCTCAGTAGTTCCTGCATCACTTTTTAAATGAGGCAGTATAATTTCAATAGCTATTTTGCAAAGGCAAGACTAGTAGCCATAGGACACTGTAAATATTTCTTTTTTTTCTTTGTTTTTCTTTATTT